TTCAACCTTGGCAGAGTTCAATACCACTTCCATACTAATTTATAAACAATTTCCTTCATTCTTACTGGCATACATTTTAATAAGCTCTTAGTGCATATCAAAACATTTAAAAATGCACCAAACATGCTGTTTGTGTTTTTAATCTGGGTATTGTTTAACTTTATTATGTAACCAACCTAATGATATTTTTAACATTTGTATATTTTCAGTGCTTTAATTGTATAAATTGTATCGTTGTGAGACAGCTTGAGTCCCAATCACTGCGAATAGGTAGCACATGAATTTATGTGCGCTTGCAAAGGACTGCATACAAATGTCTTTATTTATTTATATCCTACCTTTTTCCTACAAAGGGCTCAAGGCAGCTTACATCTCTTCCTCCATCTTATCCCCACAACAACAACCCTGTGAGGTAGGTTGGGCTGAGAGTCTATGACTGGCCCAAAGTCACCCAGTTGGCTCCATGGCTTAAATAAATGAATAAAACATACATACATACATACATACATAAACAAAGTGTCTCCAATTTTCTGTCCTTGAAAAGATATGTGAATTGAGATGACTGCCATATTTTTTTCCAGTTTTACAGAAAAGTCTCCTGTACTCTCCCTGCAGATGTCCCCACCATGGCAGTAAATGCCCGCAGCCCTTCCAGACGGTAAGAAGCAGGGGCTGCGATATCCGCGAGACGGACCTCGATCCTCAGCGCCAGAGGGAGGACCAGCGGAGGCCGACGTGGAGAACCTCCAAGTGGGCATTTTGTGGCAGTGCCCACAAGCAGCTCCTCGAAGCGGCAGAGGTGCCCAGGGAGTCGGGAAGGCCAGCGATGCTCGGCTGGCACTGTGGGGGCTGGGGGGCTCCTTTTCTACCGCCCTCCCGCCTGGGCTTTGAAATCCAGGCATGGGTGCTTGTGCGGTGCTGGGAGGAAAGCTGGCCGGGGTGGAGGTTGGAGGATCCGGCAGACTGAGCACCCTGATCGGGAAGTGGGGGAGGGAGACCTGTCCTCCATGCCCTCCCCTCCCCTCCTCTTCATGGAGGTGCCCCAAACTGCAATCCGCAGGAAATTCCGTGCTTGAGGTGTGATGGGGGCCCCCCTCCGCCGCCCACTCTGCGCCGCCCACTCTGCGCCATGTCTTGGATGCAAGTTCAGAGGCCAACGTGCAACCAGCTCAGCAGGCCTGGGATTGTGCCCAGCGATCTTGCAGCGGGGAGGGGAAGCGGCGAGCTCTTTTCAGAGGAGGGGCCTCAGCATATCATGCTGGTACACAGATCCGTGTGGTTGAAAGGGGTGTGGGTGCAATTCCACTAGTTTGCTCAGGCGCCTGGAGCAACAGCAGAGTTCCAAGGAACCACCAATGTAATCATTACATGGGAGAAAGCCAAGCTAAACAAGGGAGCTTCTCATCTGTGCATTTGGCAACACGTGAAATTCTTGTATCACTTATTCATCTGGCCAGGGCGACTTCTTTCCTTTCCTTTCCTTTCCTTTCCTTTCCTTTCCTTTCCTTTTCTTTTATAACTTTCTTTTATAACTTTTCTTTTATAACTTCTTTTATATTGTTTATATTTTTATTTATTTATTTTATATTATTAATTTTAATTATATATTGTTATTTTTGTATTGTATTTTATTGTGTTGTAAGCTTCCCCGAGGCTTCGGAAAGGGGCGGCATAGAAATGGTCTAATAATAATAATAATAATAATAATAATAATAATAATATCATTAGTGGCTATGAAGGAAGAATGCAGGTGAATTGAGTCAGGCTTCCAAATCTTGCTTCCGTCTTACAGAATGTTTGCTTCATTGATCTGTGGATCTAATCTCTACTTTATGCTGGGAATCCACCCAGCATAGCATTTTGTGCTCGGAGTACTACTATCTCTTCGCAAGGTGTGGCTGGTGCCATTCCGGGCTTTATTCCGGGATCTCTTCTCAGCCATCCCAGAGTGCACTGCCCAGAGCCATTCAAGCTATTACTTGAAGCCAAAACATCCCCCTGGCTCAAATGTACTTCTGACTCCCCAAAGTTTGCGGGGGTAATTTTATCTCCTGTTGCCGGATTTTGCAAGACATCCTGAGATGTCAGTAGTGCACCAATGGTGGATGGGACAGAAAAGGTTTAAATAAATAAATAAAATAAGTGTACCCGAATGGGGAGCTTTTAAACAATGGAACAAAAGGGCCATTTTTCTTTTCTGCAGAGAGAAAGTCAATGTGACCGGCACTGTCATCCAGATCTCCTCATTTTGCCTGGCCTCAAGAAACATTAAATTTGCATCTCGATGGCTTTCTGATTTTGGTCCACCTGGCATCTTTGAGGAGCCACCGGGGCCCCAGGTACACTGTGCCCCCCATCTTCCCCCGGGTCCTGTTTTGCAAAGCTGCAGGTGGCTCTCGAATGGCCCTTGAACCCCTGTGGCATATTTTCCAGCAACAAAACACAATTCAGTACAGTACGTTAAAAACTGTGAGAGTTTGTCAAAGCCCAGCTTAGCATCAATTCTCAGAGATCTAGCAAATTTGACTCCAAGCTAAACATGAGCCCTCCAAGCCCTGAATTTCCTCCAAGTGGTCCAAATCTGGGATTCTGAAGCTGTAAGTTGAAGCTCTCCCGGTTTTCCCACAGGCACCCCCTTCTCTCCATTGCCCACCCTCTTCTTGACTGGTTTCTCAGAAGCCGGAGTGGCAGCACTGGGCATGGGAGCGAGGAAGAGCAAAGCACGGGGAAGACTCGCTTCCACTCGGTGCTGTGCGCCTCCTTCACATCCCTCAGCACCACGCCAGAGTCGGACACCGGGCACCGAGGGCTCCGAGAGGACAGTTTATTTAAGAGGAAACTGCAGGTCAAGTAATCCAGTGCTTGGCACTGTTGTCTCAACCGCTCGCCCAGAGTTGCCTCTGCAGACTTTGCAGAACTCCTGCCCCAGCGGGACGACCCGTTTTGTGAAGGGGGCAGACGGCGGTGATGCCCCTGTTCTCTCTGCTGCTAATCTGGGGCAGCAGGTTTTAGGACTGGCATGTAAAGGGCCTTCGGCTTAAAAGAAGTGTGCAAATGCGTATGAGGTTACACTGTCGCCACATCACGTGGACTTGGACTATTGGTCCATCTAGCTCAGGAAGGACCGTTGAAGTGTGACGGAAAGCAGTTCCTCGGCTTTCCAGGCGAGAGTCTGTCGCTGCCCTTTTGCTAGAAGCCAAGCGCACCTCCGTGAGCTGCTGCCCTCCCCATGCCATTCCAGGATTGTTGGCAAGTCCGTTTAGGATGGGAGACTCTGTGTTGCTTGGAATGGAAGGACAAATTCTCCGGCAACAGGAGAGTCTCTGACTGCGACGAGCAGATCCCAACAGCTTGGACCCTCGGGGCTTTTCTGCACAGGTTCTTACTGTGCGCTCACGCTGCCATGAACCGCTGGTTCCATTTCGGCCTTTCCAGAGCCCTCTCCCTCACTGAGAAGGAGCTATCAAGTTACAGTGGGAAACCGGTGCTCCATCTCTGGCGCATTCAGGCAGGACAGGAGGGGGCTTTTTGCATAATGCGGAATCTCTGATGCTGTGATGGAACCAGAAGCACATGCCAGTGTTCACAGCAGAACAAAAGCCTCATGGACCAGGCGGGTGAGAAGATGCTGACGCCAGGTGCTGCTTTTTGTTTTTCCACTGCAGGGCTCTCCCTGCAGCAGAAGCTCCCCCCCCCTCCTCCAGCGGCCTCTGCCCCTGTCTTCTTGCCCCTGCAACCCCCCCACTTCCTGCTGTGGGCAGGATGAAGGCCCCATCTGCGTCTGCAGAGGAGTCCCTGTGGATCGGCGGCTCAGCCCCCGCCCTCCGGGCAGGAGGCCCCGGTTTGATGCGGCATCCCCACAACGACCCTGTGAGGGAGGCCGGGAAGGCCCAAGGGCCCCAGAGGCTGAGGGTCATGTCTGGGGAGGCTGCAGCTGGGAGGCCCTCCAACTAGCACTGGGCTCCTGTCGTATGAAACGTCCCCCTGGTGCCCTGCGTGAGCCCAGAATGGGTGATTTTGCCATCACTGTACAGACCTAACGATCGTAAGGAGACCCTGATCATGGGAGGCAGTGGGCTTGATCCGCGGAAGAGGGAGAACATGATCGGGGATGCTACCCGGATCCCTGCCCTGCCCCCAGTGGGGATTCCCCCCAGAGACCCGGCCCCAGGACCAGCCCCGCCATGGGGGCTGCCAAAGGGGTCCACCTGGGTGGCCGCTCGAGGGCCCCTTCCTGGCATGTGGGCCAGGGAGTGGGGGTGGCCCCCCATCTGGACGGCTTTAAAAGGAGGTTGGCCGGGGGGGAGGGGGAGGCTGAGGCTCTCCGTGGCTACTAGCCTGGCCGGCCACGGGGTCCCTCCTCGACCAGAGGCAGCCCACCTGCACACAGCAGCCGCTGAGGAGCTTGGGCAGGGGGAGGTCTTGCCCCCTCCTGCTGGAGGGATCCTGGGGACAGGCGCTTTGCCCCCAGGTGTGTGGAGTCCTGGACTGGCTGGACCTTCCTCGGACCCAGCAGGGCTTGTCGTTCCTTATCAGGTGACCCTGATCCTTGTCTTAAAAGCAATCAGCAGTTTGCACACAATGGCAAGCCAAGATTCAGGAAACTGACAGTAGACATGAATCAGCTCAGGTGTGAAAACACCTGAAAATACCTTTGGCAAAATTAGGGCTGCAGTCCTGGGTGACTTATTTAAGAATAAAGCCCACTGAACAAGCGGAACGGAATTCTGAGCCTTCGGATTGTGTTGGGAGGTCAAGCAGCTTGCAGGGAGAATAACAGCATGTTACTGAAGCCTGAAGCCATGAATCACAGGCACGAACACAGACGACTATCAAAGGGACAGAGCATTGGAGATGCTGATCTATTGCAGACTGTCATGAATTACTTGGACCAAGAAGGTGACAATTAGGAAGGGGGAAAGAGAATATATCAAGACCAAGAAACATAAAACTCATAAACCTTAGAATATTTCAAGCCAAAACAAAAACTCGCGGGGTGCCTATGCGCAGGCCCTGCTGAAAAGATGGACAGCTCCCTTCCCATACAGCTCAGCGAGCTCCTTCTGCAGGTCTCCCAAGCTGCAGTCCCTGACTTTGTTCTCGCTGTTCTTCGCGATGGCGGCCCAGGAATGCCGCCGGCCCCGATCCCGCACGCAGCAGGCTGCGGACCAGATGTGGCTGGGCCGGTTCACCCGGTGGTCCGCGATGTACGTTTCGCCGGGCACCGCTCCCACGATGACGAAGAGCTCGTGGCAGGCCTCGGCTTCCCTCTTGACCCGGCCCTCGTAGGCGGCCCAGCTGTCCTCGTTGAGCTTGCTGAACTGCGGCACGACGTTGGTCAGGGTGGACGTCGCGGCTCGGCTGTCTTCGTCCGGTTGGTGGCCGACCGGGGTCAGGTGCCCCTTCTCCGTGTTCAGAGCCTCCAGGTAATCACCGAAAACGGCTTGGTTCATTTTTATCCCCACGACCGGAACGTTGGTCTCGCGCTCGTCTTCCATGCTCTTCCCTAAATTGGGATCTACCAGCTGAAAAGCAGAGGGAAAACGTGGGCGTGATCGCCAGGTGAGAGAGAATGGAGCTCTTGACTCGGCTGGGGTGCTCGCGTTCCCGGGGGAGCGCCCTCCAGGTGCCTGGGGCTGCAGCCGCATCAGCCCCACAGCACGGCCCGTGTTCAGAACGCCTGGGAGTTTGGTACTGCAGCCGTTGTTACGTGTGGATCCCATATTTGTTCTTGGGAGACGCCTGTCCACCGCATCTTCTCTATTTTATCCCTACGACAACCCTGCGAGGTAGGCTCAGCTGAGCATCAAGGACTGGCCCAAAGTTGCCCAGTGGGTTTCACGGCCAAGCGTGGACCAGATCCTCCAGGCAAGTTCCAGCCCACGCCTCTGTCTCTGACGCCATGCAGGAGATGTTCTCCAAAACGCATGGAAGATTGAGGCTGCTCTGGGGACTCCCATCTTTTCTGTGGTCCTTCAAGAACTTGCCTGGACTCAGGCTAGGCTTCAGACTGATGGCCAGTCATGGACTCTCTGCCTACTCTACCTCGCAGGGTTGTTGTGAAGGTAAAATGGAGGGGAGGAGGAAGACCCCATAAGCTGCTTTGGGCTTCTTGCAGGAAAAGATTCGGGATGCAAATAGCAGTAATGTAGAAAAGTTGTTCGCAGTAACACCAGAAGCAGCCCAGGCTGTTAATTGCAATTAAGAAAGTTGCAATTCAACTAGCTGCAATTAAGAAAGAACTGATGGCTGAAAAAAGAAAGATACAAATCATGCTAATGGCATGACTCCCCACTCGCAAAGCCAATATGGGTTGCCTTTTAAACTTGTGGCTCTGCTTTTGACTGAAGTAATGCAATAAAATAAATGCAGTTGAAGAAAATAAATATTTGGGTTTTTGATAGATATTCTCATATAGAAGAAAACAATTTATTTTGTTGTTTCAGGCACATGGTGACTTCAGATTTTTAAGCAAGCTTGCTTTGACCACTGCTCTGGTGTCTGTGCTCTAGTCTGATCTTCAAAGGGGCTACTCCCAAATTGGGCTGCAAGCTGGAGTGAATACATCACTCCACTGATCTTGGAGCCTTCCACCTGCACCCCTTGCAAGGAAGGGGAAGGGGAAGGGGAAGGGGAAGGAAGGAAGAGGAAAAGAAGAGAGGCCTGTTTCTCCTGTTCTGCAAATGTGAATATTTCCTATGCACATTTGACTGGTGTGCACTCAAATCCTCACCTAGAGGGGAAGAAGAAAAAGAGTTCCAGTTCTCCCATGCCCATTATACGAAGTGATGCTCATGCACTTCTGTGCAAAGGAAGCTGGTTTCTGATGCTGCCTAGATGTCTTGGCTTTATCTGATTGCTTGTACCATTTTAGAATAAGTCAGCTTGCCTCATTCATCTATTTCCTGAATATTTTGTAAACAGCACTTCAGAAGGTGTGGCCTCACAGAGTGACTGGTAAACCAGAAATGGGCTGGATGCCAGTGCATGTAAATATACAAAATTAGGCAAAAATTAAGCCGACCCTGAGGCCGGATTTCAGAAGAAAGGCAGAATTTGAACACTAGGTTGCCGTGAAGAAGCAGCAGGTTAAACCGCTGGAAGAGATGCTGCATTGGGAGAGACCAGGAGACATTGCCACCGGGCGTTTACAGACCATTCAGAGTATCCAATTAAGCCTTCTGAAGAAGAAGCCCTCAAGCAGATAGCTTGGGGGCCAGAATTCCCACTGCAGGCGGCACCGGATGCCTCAGATGAGGACTGGGCCACTGGGCTGTCTCCACCCACCTCTTCTGCCCTTCCAGAGGGCCACCGGCACAGCCCCACAGAAGGCAGAAACATGCCCATAATCCACAGCATCTCTGGACAAGATCAGCTTCCACCAGGGACCGGGAGTGGACAGGCATCCAGTCAACCCCGTGTGGCAGGACGATGCCTCTCCCCAGAGATGCCCTGTGATTGGAAGGGGTGCCTCTCCTTAGCGACAATCCACACCCACAATATATTTGCAGTTGATCAAGTTTTCAATATCTCCAACACAAGTGGCTTCCCTTCTCCCTGGTTTTCTGACTGTGAAATCAGGTGCATGGAGCAGGCTCAGGGGGGGAATCAGGTCTCCCTTGGAGGAACGGGGCCACCCCAGAGTAGGTGGACCCGAAAGCAGACACAGTGAAGGGAAGAGAACAGGCGAGCAACCGGCCAGGTGGTCTCAGACTGGCCGGGCCAGCCGCCCTACCTGGGGCTCTATCATCCAGCCCGGATACCTCGGGCCTTTTCCAGGTTTGCACTTATAGGCAGAATAGATCGGGATGCGCTTCTCTCGGTCATACATGGTGGCGAAGCGATAGCTGTTCTTGTAGAACTGGCAGATCCTGGCTGGGTTGGGTGGTGTGAGGGAGGCATCGGGTGGGGTCTTATCTAAGAAGAACCCAAGGCAGTTTTTAAAGTCCTTCACCACCTCGGCCTTTGCAGCCTCAAGGAAACACACGCAAACACAGAGCAGGAATCTCAGCAACATTGCAATGGTGTCCATCGGGCGGGACGCTGCACCTGAAAGGAAGAAAGACTGTGACACAAATTATTCCCAACTTCTTGCTCGGCCAAAGGCTTCCTTAAATGTCACCAAACAGTGAGTTAGGAGCTTAAGTTCTCTACTTATCCTGGCTTGGGACCAGGATACCTAAAGGAACGCCTTCTTCCCCATGAGCCCTCCTGCCCCTTGAGATCTGAGACGGAGGTCCTGCTCCGGGAGCCCTCCTTGAAGGAGATGAGGAGGCTAAGTACCCGGAGGAGGGCCTTCTCTGCGGTGGCGCCCGCCTATGGAATGCGCTCCCCAGAGAGGTCCACCTGGTGCCGTCATTATATGTTTTTCGGCGCCAGGTTAAGACCTTTTTATGTAATCAATATTTTAACATGTTTTAATATTGACTTTATTGTTGTATTTTATTAACTTGCAGCCAGAGTGGGTTGTCAATTTATTTCTGCTGTAAGCCGTCCAGAGGCGCAAGTAATTGGCGGCATACAAATTTTATAAATAAATAAATACTTGACTGACAAAGTAGAAGATGTGGTTGACCCAGGGGAGTTGTAGGATACTGAAGCCATGAAAACTGCACAGGCTGAAACGTTTCCGTCTTTTAACGAAGCACGAAGGAGCCCTGAACCAAGGCTCCAACACCAGCTCCGTTTCCATCTTCAGTATGGGAGTGACAAAGTCTGGGGAGATTCTAGGTACTGAAAAGATCTGGTGCTCAGACCCAGAGGACAAAGAATTTCACAAACACGCATATCCATCATAATTCACATATGTAAATATAAAGACATAGCTAGAAATATCAACACTAACTGTACATTTAGAATCGATGAGCTAGTTGAATTATATTTGCTTTCAGGACAGAACTGGGCACTGTTCTGAAACGTGCTTGCTTCACACTGACCTTTCCTTTGCTCTTTCAGGCCCCAGTCCAGATATGGAAGATGGGAGTTATGCTCCTCCCTTTCCTCCAGCCCTTGGATCTTTATTAAGGCAAGTTTTCTCCAGCTGCGTGAAAAGCAACGCTTTTCAAACTACCTTTCTCTCCAGGAAAACATGCTATGCTGCTTTGAGGATACTCCCAAAGTCCTGCTCTAACAGGATTGAGGAATTTAGATTGACAGACGCTTGGAGGCACAAAAATCCATCTTCTGCCAAATACTCGTTTTACTCAAATAGACATAGGTCGTGGTCTAGAATTGATATGGTTTGGATAACTCCAGACTTAGTACCAGATCTGATAGAAGCTGAAACAGAGGCAAATGTCTGAGCAGATCACAACCCAGAATTCATATTACTAAAAGGAACTGTAAGGGCGCCCAGATGGAGCCTAGATAAAGCATTGTTAAAAGATAAAAAATTCACAGAACAGATGAATAAGGAAATGCAAGTATTTTTTTCAAATAAATAAACCAGAAGAAACTTCTTTACAGAATGTCTGGGATACAGCCAAAGCCTATGTCAAAGGGGTGATAATAACATACTCAGCGCAAATAATTAAAAAAAAACCAGAGTGAGCACTGATAGTAGAGGAATTGATGAAATTGGAACAAATGCTGCAGGAGGACCCATCAAAACAAAGTCTTAAGTCTCAGCTGGATATTTTAAGGCATAAGTTAAACCTTTTGGATACAAATGAGCTTACTAAACAAATGAAATTGACCAAACAGAATTTCTTCGAAAATGCTAATAAACCAGGGAGATGGTTAGCACATGAAGTTAAGAAAGAAAAAGAGAAGAGATTGCTCGTGAAATTGAAAGGCAGAGAAGGACAGCTACATTCACAGAGTGCACAGATCAAGAAAATAGTGGAAGACTTTTTTACAAAGCTTTATCAGAAGGAGGAGATTTCAATCGAGAAAGTTAAAGAATATATTCAAAAGGAAAAGTTACCAAAACTACCAGAGAAATATCAAAAATTATTAAACCGAGACGTCACAATCATGGAAGTAGTAGAAGCAATCAAACGACAAAAGAATGACAAAACTCCTGGCCCGGACGGACTACCAGCCGAGTTGTACAAATCTTTTGAAGCAATTTTTGCCACACTCTTAAAAGACATATGTAATGAAGCTTTGTTAAATGCTAAGATACCGGCTACTTGGACCGAGGCAAATATCACATTAATACCGAAAGAAGATATGGATGTGGCACAGATTCAAAATTACCGACCTAGATCACTATTAAATGTGGATTACAAAATTTTTGCTTCCATACTCGCAGAAAGATTAAAGAAGTTATTAATAGACTTTATCCATCCAGACCAGAATGGCTTTTTGCCAAAAAGACAAATGAAGAATAACCTGAGAACTATCTTGGATATTTTAGAGTATTATGAGATACATACCGAAAAACCACTGGCCTTATTGTTTTTAGATGCCCCAAAAGCCTTTGATAATGTTAATTGGCAGTTTATGAGACAACAGCTGATTCAAATGGAGTTTGGTGAAAGATTTATGAATGCGGTATCAAGTATTTATCAAAAGCAATCAGCCAGGATCTTAATTAATGGAGAACTTTCAAACCCTATAGATTCAAAAGGGCACAAGACAAGGATGTCCTCTGTCACCCTTCTTGTTCATTATGATTTTAGAGGTACTGAATAGATGTGTTAGAGGGTGTGGAAGGGGCTTCCATGGGAGGTGGCTGAGGCCCCATCCGTGCGGGTGTTCAAGGGCAGGCTGGACATGCACATGGTGGGCATGTCGTGAGTGGAGCCGGCTGGTGCCGGAGGTCAGACTCGATGGCCCGGGAGGCCCCTTCTGACTCGCTCTGTTTCTATGTTTCTATGGTGAAGTTATGGGAATGAAAATAAATAGAGAAAAAAATGACATTGTTAGTTAAAAACCTTACGCGAGAACAAAAAGAAAGACTCCAGGAACAAGTAGACTTGCGGATTGTTAAAAAGATTAAATACTTGGGAATCTCTCTTACAGCTAAATGTACTACCTTGAAAGAAGATAATTATGATACATTATTGAAGGATATTAAGGGCTTTTTGGAAAAATGCGCCAATTTACAATTTGATGGGAAGAATAGCACTTGTCATAATGAATATATTACCTAAACTTTTGTTTCTGTTTCAAATGATTCCTGTAAAAATTGATAAAAAATTCTTTGAGGACTTAAACTTTCATATCTCGAGATTTAGCTGGAGAAAAAAGAAACCAAGGATTAAATTAAAAATGCTTCAGGAAGCTAAAAGGAATGGAGGTTTTGGTCTCCTTGATTGGATGTTGTATTATCAAGCGTCTGTTTTAACTTGGCTAAAAGAATGGGTAACGTTGCGAAATAAGAGAATTTTGTATCTTGAAGGTCATGACTTGCAGATGGGATGGCATGCTTATATGTGGTATGAAAAAGCTAAGTCACATGGGTTCTTCCTGCATCATTTTATTAGAAGATCTTTAATGTCAGTGTGGGAAAAATAAAGCTAAAACTGTATAATAAATTACCAAGATGGCTTTCACCTATGGAAGCTTTTGTATATCCAAATGTATTGAACTTTGAAAAAATCATAAGATATGGTGATATCCTGGATAAGGATGGTGGCCTGAAACTGGAGCAAGAAATACAAGAACAGGGACTTAATATTTCCTGGTGGTATAAGGTGCAGATGCAATCAAGATATGCCAAGGATTGTAAAACATGAGGGTTCTATAGAGACCTAACAGAATTTGATCAAGTGATGCTTAAAACAGATGAGAAAAAGACTATATGATTTTTTACTTGACAAGAAAATGGAAGGAGGACAGGTTAAGGAAACTATGATAATATGGGCACAAAACTTTGGATTTAATGTTGAACTAGAAAAGTGGAAAAAACTATGGGAAAGAAACATTAAAGTAACATTAGCAACTTCGTATAAAGAAAACTTATATAAAATGTTCTATGGATGGTATTTGTCACCAAGTCAACTAGCTAAGATGTTTCCAAATATGTCAAATAGATGTTGGAAATGTAAACATAAAGTGGGTACTTTTTATCATATGTGGTGGACTTGTGACAACACGAAAAAGTACTGGATTAAAATACATAGATGGATGGAGGAAATATTATAAAAACCCTTTGCTTTTAAACCCGAACTTTTCTTGTTAGGCATTATACCAGAAGATGTTAACAGACAGGAAATCTATTTGATGTTGCATCTAATTACAGCGGCGAGGATTGCATTTGCTCAATATTGGAAAAGTGAGGAGCTGCCCACCGATACATCGATCGTAAGAAAGATCTTGGGACTGTGCAGAAATGGATAGACTGACTTTATTGTTGAAGGAGAAAGAGGATACTGATTTCTATCGAACTTGGGACTGTTTTTATAATTGGCTGGAGAAACGGGACTTGGCATAAATTTAGAGATGTGTTTCGAACTATGATAAATTAATTGGAATTTGATACTAGAATGTTAAAAAATATGTAGTAGGAGGTTGACCCAGTGAATCCAATGTTTGTGATGTTTGATTTTTTTTAGTGTTTAAAAATTTTAATAAAATAGTAAAAAATAAATACATAGCTAGAAATATCAACACTAACTGTACATTTAGAATCGATGAGCTAGTTGAATTATACTTGCTTTCAGGACAGAACTGGGCACTGTTCTGAAATGTGCTTGCTTCACACTGACCTTTCCTTTGCTCTTTCAGGCCCCAATCCAGATGTGGAAGATGGGAGTTATGCTCCTCCCTTTCCTCCAGCCCTTGGATCTTTATTAAGGCAAGTTTTCTCCAGCTGCGTGAAAAACAACGCCTTTCAAACTACCTTTCTCTCCAGGAAAACATGCGATGCTGCAATAAATTGGTGAGTCTTCTGAGGTGCCACAAGGCATTGTAGCCTTGGAAGCCCAAAGAGCAAGAAGACCCATCAGCCTTCCCTAGGCTTCACCTTTCTTTAGCCTGGTTCCCCGGTTCCAAGGAAGACCCTGCACCCACTGGGACCTGGCCAGAGAGACCAAGGCACACGTGGGCCCCCCAGAAAGATGCCTGCAAGGCTGAGCAGCTCCT